GGCTAATGTAGCGGCGCTACATTTTACTGTAGCGGTAGCGGTAGCGCTCGCTACAATCTAGTGGGTGTAGCGGTAGCGGCAGCGCCCGCTACATTTAGAGCATGTAGCGGTAGCGCCGCTACATTTCAAAGTAGTGCTGCCCAGCTCTGCTGAGTGACACATGACAAGCTCATGAATCAGAGTTCAAATTTCATGTAGCTGCATTTAAAGCGTACATTGAAACGATGGTGCTGTACGTGCGTTGTGATGACAACAGAAATTGCCGACAGACCGAGGGTTTTCAGAAGAAGCGTCTTCCGTATTGACCCTGCTCATCATGTCGGGAGGTGAAACGTCAATACAGCCCTTTTAACCCTGCACCTCATATCGGACTGTAAGCGTCAACATTACCCTTTTTAACCCTGCACCTCATATCGGACTGTAAGCGTAACCCTGCACCTCATATTGGACTGTAAGCGTCAACATAACCCTTTTAACCCTGCACCTCATATCGGACTGTAAGCGTCAACATAACCCTTTTAACCCTGCACCTCATATCGGACTGTAAGCGTCAATATAGCCCTTTTAACCCTGCACCTCATATCGGACAGCAAGCATTTATAAAATATTTTCAAATCGCTTTATTGGTGTCACACACCCTATCTAACTATATTAAAGATTGCTAGCTTCCAAGAATGTCGTCAATTTGAAGTTTAGAAGGAATCGTTAAATTCGAGGAATTCTAGTAAAAATTTGTACAATAGTTGGAGACAGTCTAACTCTAACCTCACTAAAATTGCTAATAAGTAGGAAACAAGATAAGGTTTGAAAAAGAAAATCACAGCTAAATAAACTGGCTCCGCAGATTTGAGACCAAACCTCTAGGAAGAAATTGACGTCTGATTTTGATTAGTTTATCAACAAATTTGATAAAATATGTTGATAAAGTGATAGGCGAAGAGTTACATAGAGAATAACATACACATGTGCGTAAACTGTATTGTAATTTGTATAATGCGAACGTACACACTGCAATGTATGATACACATGTACGTAAGTGGTACTGTATGGTGCGAATGTACACAGTGCACTATATAATACGAATGATGCAATGAGATATGAATATAATATGATTCGATCCATTATGATATACCATGGCTGTTATCTTTCTTGGTCTCTGCAGCCATAAGTGATGTTCTACATACCCGTTATTAATAATTATTCAATACACGATAATATGTTGCGCATAATAATGTTGGGTCTTAACCCCCTAAACGAATATCAACTCAAGCGATCAATTGTTCAGCACAAGGTGGTCAGCGAAACTCACTCTCACAGAAACGAGTGACACTTTGTCCAAATAACGGCTCATTTTTAGCGCATTCTCTCATTTATGGAAAAAAGGCGCTATTGTGCTCGTCATTTCCATCTGTCTGTCTGTCCGTCCGTCCGTCCGTCTGTCTGTCTGTCTGTCCGTCTGTCCGTCCGTGACCTCACGTTTTCTTCGACGAGAAAATGCGCTCTCACAGTCACTCACTGCAGTGAGTACCGAGTTATATTTATTCAGTCGGTTCTCATTCAGTTTTTAGCGCATTTTCTCATTTATGGAAAGAAGGCGCTATTGTGCTCGTCATGTCCGTCCGTCCGTGACTTCACGTTTTCGTCGACGAGAAAATGCGCTCTCAGTCACTCACTGCAGTGAGTACTGAGTTATATGTTCTGCTCTTGTGTACGTCATCCTGAGCCAGTTTAGCCAGGCAATGAGGCGTATCAGTGATACGTGCAGAACGTGTGTTGCTATTTGGACAATAAACTCATCTATATTATTGAGTGCAAATGTAGGAGTCCAGGGGCCATACTTTCAAAACTGGCTAAGTGAACGTAAGTACTTACGCTCTATTTTCTTGTCTATGATTGGTGGATTTTGCTTGAAAAGCCGTCTATTATTGGCTGATGAACTTACGATCTCTTAACTTTTTTTGAAAGTATAGGCCCAGATTAGGGTTTCGATGACATTTTCTAGTTATAATTTTCTAGTTATAATTTTCTAGTTATATTGGTAATTTTTACAGTCATATTCTATCTATTTTCAGTCCCATTAATTTGATTGAAAGAAAAGTTTATTGAAATCAATATTATGAATTATTGTAGGTGCAATTTCACTTTATATACTTTATTTTTCCAATGCCCTCATGTGCGTGCGCGCAACCGTTGGTGGGGGTTTTCTTCAATTATGGAGTATCCACCGTATTATTATGAATATGAATATGATTTTGATAAATATTTATTTGAAAAGTGTAATGCTACAATTTTTTAGTAAACTTTTTAGTATCATTCCTAATATAATGTAAGCAGAAATAATTCCTCTAGTGAAGGGCGAGATCAATAGGAGGTGTGGTCTCCAGACCTGTATTGTGTGGTATTTGAATGCCAGCTGTGTGAATATTATATGTATATATATATACAGCACCTCTGTATTGACACTCTCCACTCCCGAGGGCGTTATACAGCGGCACACAGAGTATCAGTGTCAAAATATACAGAGAAAACATATGTTTAAACATGACTTGACCTAATCATGAGTACGTCTTTTTTCACATTTTCATCAGCTTAAATTCCGATTATAATTCCATTTACTTTCTTCAGTTTTAAACTTTGACATCAAATGAAAACTTTTCACGTTATGTATCGAAAAAATCCATTGCTTACTATAGTGCATTAATTACAAGAATTGTTTGTTGTGTTCTTGCAGATAGACGGCGGCAGCCTCCGNAACATGCGAGTGAACATGCGAGTGAACATGTGAACATCTGAGTGAACATGTGAGTGAGAACGTCAGTGATTATCATTAGAAGTTATCACTATATAACTTCACCAGGACTACAGAAACAGGCAAGGCCATTCGCCTTAATTATATATATAATGCCACTAAATTTTATCTCTACTCTATAGATTTGAACGTAAAAGGTTAGGCTACTATAATTTAGGTATAATCTAATTAAGAAAATGTCTGCATTATTTTTATAATAAGATTATTTCCTTTCGGGATACGCTCCGGAAGATCTTTTAGTAGAAATTTCAATACTATAGAAATTGGTTCAGTCGGTTTTAAGATTCAAATATACGCAGGACGCAAATTCATACAAATTATGTGCAAATTATAATTATATTCATGCAACCTGGCAAGAGAAAGGCCCACACAGTGTTTCAACACCCACAGTTTGATCGCTAAAAAGTTTAAAGTTCAACTGTCTTTCCATCCAAGTAGAATCACTTTTGATACGTACTACAATTCCTGAGCAAAAATCCACGGGTTTAAAAACCAGTATTAAACTATTATTTTCACATCGGAGATGCTAACTCTATGGGTTTTACAGCAAGAATTTGACTATAAATTTAGCCAAAACACATTAATTAATATACCTTGAGTTGTACAACCAGCATTAAAGTATAGTTTAATTCACACGTAGTAAGACTCCCCCTGATTGTGCCGACAGTAGTTTAAAATTTCAAGTTCTTAATTCCCAAAACAAATGTTTTATATAGTGTTTTGTGAATATATATATATAGTGTGATGAATATATATAGCGTAGTGAACATATATAGAGTATAGAGTATTGAATATATACAGTGTATTGTGAATATATATAGTGCAGTGCAGTTATTGCTTTCACAGCTGCCGCTATCAGGAGTATTGCTGCTCCCAAGGCTGCTGCTCGCCTTCTGCTGTCACCTTCTACCAGCTCTGGTACTTCTGGTGCGTACCTTACTTTACCTTATGACCTTATGATGAGTTCAGGACTTCCTAGTCCCCGGTCACGCTGATGCGCCGCCTTCGTCGTCCTCCGTCTCCGAGTCGTCGCTAAGCAGGTCACCCCGCCCTCGGGTCCCGGATGTAACGTTGGACGTGTTCCGTCTATATTTGCCCTCCTATGTGCCAGCTGATGCAAGATGCTGTTGCTTGTCACTTGTTAGGGGTAGTTTCCCATTACTGGACAATCTGGAACCAATTTTCCAGTCGTCTCTTGAATGTTGCAAGGGTAAACTCCCCTCCTCTCAGCGCTTTTGCCAGGACATTAAAGAGCCTCGGTCCTACAACGGACAGAGATCCCTCACAAAGAGTCTGTACTCTGACCGCGGCTCGTCGCTGCACTGCCTCCAGTTTCCGTACCGCACCGGCCTTGATCGGCGACCAAAGCTGGCAGCAATACTCAAGATTGGGGAGCACGAGGGCTCTGAAGAGCGTAATCATTGGTGCTGCTTCTCTTGTTCGAAATGTCCTCCATATCCACCTCATCTGTTGCCGGCTGCGCGCGACTATTTCCTCGATATGGGCATCGAACGTGGCTTCAGTACTCATCAACACTAGTGCTACACTAGTGCCCCTGCTAGTGGTACTTGTGGTGAGTGCCTCGGCTAGTGGTACTTGTGGTGACTACCTCTGCTAGTGGTACTTGTGGTGAGTACCCCTGCTAGTGGTTATTGTGGTGAGTACCCCGACCAGTGGTACTTGTGGTCAGCACTTCTACTGATGGTACTTGGTAAAAAAACTCGGTTGGAACAACCTAAGAAGTTTCCGTGTCGAGGTTCCCTGAAGAGATGGGCGACGAGTGAGAAAATGACTGGGCTAAGTGTTCGTAAGAACAATGCTTCCTGGTCGTATAACAGAGGAAAACTATAGTTCATGATTCAAATTGTATTCTTTGACCTACGATCGCAAATAAGGTTCCACACTCCCCCACTCAGGCTGGTGCTACTGCTGGTGGGGATCGTATGCAGCGGCTACGGTTGGTATTTCAAGCACCGCTACGCGGGGGGCCTCAGCAACCTCAACCCTCATCCACCCCTCCGCCGCCGCCCTCCTCTGCGCCACCGCATCTACCCCCGCTACCTCCACGACACTGGTACGTGGTATTAGCATAATATTGGTACCTAGCATCAGGACGGTAGTGGTATGTGGCACCAACATTGTTGTGGTTAAATGGTAGAAGCGTAGAACTAGTACGTAGTACCAGGATGGTCCATGGCATCCCTGCTAGATATTGAGGATGTAGCTGTCCCAGGCCACGCTGGAGTGCCGCCTTAGTATTCCTCCGCATATAGCCCCGGCAGCCAGGTCGTCTATAAGCACTTCTAGCACATGTAACTAGTTCCGAGGCAGTGGAGTATAACTACTGCACTTCTAGTACATATGTAACTAGCTCCAGGGCAGAGGAGTATAACTAGTGCACTTCAAGTACATGTAACTAGCTCCGGGGCAGTGGAGTATTAACTACTGCACTTCAAGTACATGTAACTAGCTCCGGGCAGTGGAGTATAACTACTGCACTTCTAGTACATGTAACAAGCTCCGGGGCAGTGGAGTATAACTACTGCACTTCTAGTACATGTAACTAGTTTAGGCCGGCGTGCTGATGGTGTACGATATCTACCAGCAGAAGATAGCATGGGTCTCTTATACACATCTAGATGTGTATAAGAGACAGCTTCCTCACCTACAAACTGGAAACAACAACAACAACAACGTTTTATGAACCATTGATTCCATGTAAGCTGTAATCTTACGAATTTAAATAGGTAATTTAATTAAAATACGAACTGCGCTCAGTTACAACTTTATCCTCCCTTTTTCTATCTTAGACTCACATGTATGATTTAAGTGCCCATTAACTAATGTAAAATAATTACTTGCATCCTCAACGTTGATTAATAAATACTAAAGCAAACCAAACCCATCGTTTCCAATCATCTACCTACTGGTCGTAGGCGCATCAAGTGCATTATAAATTGATTTCACGTCCATCGTTCTGTGCATTATCTAGTGTCTAAAACGTGTTAATTGTGTCATTGAGAAAGCCAGATACTGCAAGTCGTCTGGAGCCATCATCGTTACTGACTCCGAAGTTATAAAGCGAGTGTCCGAGTGGTTAACACACATCATGCAGAGGTGGGCAGTAGCGCGCTACATGTAGCGGCCGCTACATTTTCAGTAGCGGTAGCGGCGCTACATTTAAGGCAATGTAGCGGTAGCGGTTGCCAGCAACTGCAGGACTCACAGTTACTGCCAGCAACTGCAGGCCTTACAGTCAGTGCCAGCAACTGCAGGACTCGCAGTCACTGCCAGCCACTGCAGGACTCACAGTCACTGCCAGCAACTGCAGGACTCACAGTCACTGCCAGCCACTGCAGGACTCACAGTTACTGCCAGCAACTGCAGGACTCACTGTTACTGCCAGCAACTGCAGGACTCACAGTCACTGCCAGCAACTGCAGGACTCACAGTCACTGCCAGCAACTGCAGGACTCACAGTCACTGCCAGCAACTGCAGGACTCACAGTCACTGCCAGCAACTGCAGGACTCGCAGTCACTGCCAGCAACTGCAGTACTCACAGTCTGTCTCTTATACACATCTAGATGTGTATAAGAGACAGNNNCTGTACCGTATACTCCTTTCATTTCCCCATCACAATCTGTACCGTATGCTCCATACATTTACACATCACAATCTGTACCGTATGCTCCTTTCATTTCCCCATCACAATCTGTACCGTATGCTCCATACATTTACACATCACAATCTGTACCGTATACTCCTTTCATTTTCCCATCACAATCTGTACCGTATGCTCCTTACATTTACCTATTACAATCTGTACCGTATTCGTACTTGAGTAAACCTCAATGAATCATGATGAACCCTGATAAATCCTGATGAACTCCGCTGGTCCCTAATAAATCTCACTGAATGCAATTAATTAATGCTGAAACTTTTGTATTCAAATATGTATTTTATAACTCAATTAAAAGATGTGTGAGGACTGAGGGTTTAAATCAAAAGAACAAGTTCATGCATTACCTGATTGAAGAGAAGGATTGTCTGATTGTGGGTAGTTTAGGGCTTACAGTTGCATATTGGCAATCAAATCCATAGCATTAATAATATTAATAATAATGGAAATTACCCTTTTTATTCGAGTATTACCTCCACATGAATATGTTAGTATATTAACTTCATCGTGTAAATTTGAGAATGATTGAAAAAGTATTTTCATTGTTGCGTAAGATTTTATATTAGATTATTTTACGAAACTGTAAATATCATCGTTACATATCATCACGGGTATAAGAAATTTCGCGATAGCTAAATAATTCTGAGGATTTAAATTACGCGGATGATGTTTGATGATTGCTTCATCCGACAGCCCCACCTTCCTATGGCGAGGTGATGCGCAGGCAGCAGGACTACCCGCAGGCCAGACCAGCCTTCAGGGGTGCGTGCTCTGTCTGCACTGTCTGCACTATATTCATGGCCTGCGGCACCTAAACAAACTGCTCAACCTGCAGGACGTTCACTAAAGTGGATCTTTAACCACAGTGAAATACCAGCACTACCTTCAATGTCTGCGAACTGCACTGCCTGTGCCTACTGCCTGGCACGCATTTCTGCGCTACAAAGTTAATAATGTTTCAGTCACCCTCTCTGACAGCACTGCATGCACTTTCAATAACTCTATCGTGGTAAAAGAGTACACAACTTTACTACCTCACCTCCAAGTTAATGTTACTCACCGCCATCAATTGATTCTAAGATAAATAATTTGATAAAGAATTTTATTGCCAATCGTTCTGTTAATTTTGCTCAACCTAAGCACGTTAATTAAATAATCGCGTCCCTGTCCCCAGGGGGCGCCGGGCAGCGAGACCCGGGATGGATCAACTCCCCTCCTCCCCCCTACGAAACGATCCACGACCTCCGACGACAGGAATCGAAACTGGAGCAAGAAATTAAGCAGGAAGATCAGAGGCATCAACAAGGGCCTCACCAGGTAGACGAGGTTCTTCGCAGGGGTGCCTCAGCGAGGGAGAGACCCAAGTTGAGCGCTCGCCAGAGGATAAAACTTCTGCTGGGGAAGGGCAACTACAGGGGTCAAAAAATGGCCCGGAATGAGCCCAGCCATAACGGATCCAATCAAAATGGCTACTTTCCTGGTCCCAATGAAGATCAAAACTTTGAGGACCACGGAAGTCACAATATAAACTTCATTGACCACGACGAAAGCACTAATGGTAGCGGCCCCTTGGGACAAGCTGCTTTCACCATCACCGGCAACCCTCCAATTCACCCCTTGGCCTGGTCGTACAACTCCCCTAACACATACTTAATCCAACCTTACATGCAAGCCATACCTTCTCTGGACCTTCTCCCTCCGTACCGACCTCCTCCTGAGTACCAGTACTGTGCACCTTACCGTTACGGAGCTGAACCGAACATCGAGGAGTGGTCAGCGCATGAAAACATCCCGCTATACCGGCCACTCACCGCCATGGGAACCAGAAACACTTCTGATCCTGCTAGCTCCACAGCAGGAGCGAATGCCTCTTCGGCAAGTGCTAGTGGCACTTTAATGGATGTGGAAGATAACGAGCTTGCTAGTCAAGCCTCTGTTTCCAGCGCTGAAATAAAAAAAGTTTTCGAAGACATTAGATCTCCGTTAACACCAATAACAGAGCCAGATCTTGTCCCACAGATATTAGATGTTGATCAAAGAAATATTGAAGATGATGAAGTAGATAGCATTTCTAAAACTATCCTGACAACAAACGAAAAAGGCCATGAATCACATTATGATTCTGATGCAGTTCATGAAACACGCGTGTCGACAGCCCCTCGTCTTTCTCTCACTCCAGAGGCACCCATATTATCAGGACATTCATCGAATTTATCTACTCCAAATCGCAAATTGTCATCCCGGCCAGTTTCTTCAACAGCGCTGCCAACGCCAGGCATCGCTTCTCCCACTGTAATTTTACCAGGTGCCTACGATACTTCCTCTTCAGAGCCATCTACTTCGGAGCTATCTACGTCTGAGCCCTTCCACGTTTCTTCGAGAAGTCCAAGTTCCACTTTTTATTTCAAACAACTTCCTTCACTTGCTTCCACGGCCAATGTTACTGGGAGTCAAAATTTTGCTGAAGTTAATTCACCCGCTGTTGATGAACCCTCCTCCGCCATGACGGGTTGTCCGCATCCGACGATCACCGAAGACTCCCAAAACAATGGCTGATGTAAACAAGGCGGAACACCCGTAAACCGATGAAACCATCGAATCATTTAATTACTTCATTCGTCTTTATTATAAATTTTATAGAGGGTGGACACTAAACTTGTTACGATCTTCACAAAGAGACAAGATATGTCGCACCGTCCATCTTTAGAAGACGTCGTACTTATGTTTCAGATCATAACTTGACTGATTATTATTGAGAAGATCTTTTCAATCTACAAATGATCTCACATTTATTTAGGGCTATTGAAATTGCACTCAAGTAGTTTATAAAATAATAGCTTGGACGATCACGTCAAAAAATAAACATAACTCTATTACATGAACCATTATTTTTTAAAATTAATTTATAATAGGGCATACGATTGCATTAGCAGCATGTGTCAGATCGTGCTCGGAGACCACGTTTGTGATGTTCTGATTCATTGCCATAACACTAAATTGCGCGTAACATTCAATATGAAAAATTAAAGCAACGTGAAGCAAATGAATAGTTTCCTTTAATTGGCAAAACTTTTCCAAAGTTCTAAGCTTTCGACTGCAGTCAAACGAAGTTATGTAATGCCGCTTGAGGCCATGTCGTAAATGATAGATCAAAACGCATTATTCTATTGGACGTCACACAAAGTAGAAGTGCAAAACATTGTATTACAAAAAATATTAAACATTGTATTACAACACATACTAAACATTGTAATACAATACATACTAAACACTGTATTACAAAAATACTAAACATTGTATTACAATACATCCTAAACCTATTTTTCAACAAGTTGGAAATTTCTTCAGGTCAAGATTATTTCTACCAATCCCGCAAATGGTGATCATTTAATTTTGATTTACTGACGACGTAGGCTGTTCCCTGATGTTAATGGGGGCAGGATTTAATACATCAGATGTGTGGCACGAATATAATTTCCACTTGACTCTCTTATGCGATGGTCTTGTTACATGAGGAAATGTAGAACTCCGTGTACGTAAATGTGACAATCAATGTTTGTAATAAGTTTACGAATACCGTAGGTTATGCAGGAAAAAAAATTTGGCAAATTTAGGAAACGTAATAAATTTAAACGTAAAATGATTAATGGTATGTTTTGGTGATAATATTCCTCAATGAATCCTGCAAATGATATTAACTCAGAGCCTTCACTGGAAGAAATGGCTGGGTCTGGATAACCCACAATCATGAGTCAACCGCGTTTAAATGTCGATGCACATTTTTGACTCAATTGCCCTATTTGTGGTCATACTGGCCTATAACTGGCCCTTTAAATTTCAAGTATGACTCACTTGTGCCCTTTAAATTTCATGTATGACTCACTTGTGCCGTTAAATCGCTGAGACGCCCAGGTGCTCCCTACGTATCCGTGCTACGGGTGACGTCAAAAGCGTTCTGATGCCACAAGTGAGTCATGCCTCAAATTTAAAGGGTTAGTGTGACCCACAAATGGGGCAAGTGAGTCAAAAAGCGCATCGCTATTTGGATGTGGTTGACTCATCCAAGTGGGTCATCCAGACCCACACATTTATCTCAGTGATACTTACGATGCAGGGGCCATACTTTCAAAACTCGCTAAGTGAACGTAAGTACTTACGCTCTATTTTCTTGCCTATGTTTGGTGGATTTTGCTTAAAAGTCCGTCAATGATTGGCTGATGAACTTACGATCTCTTAACTTTTTTTTAAAGTATAGGCCCAGGTTCTTTGCTCATTAAGTTTGGTGTTCCGAAGTAGAGCAAAGTAAAATTTATCACTCAGACAATCGAGTGAGACTTTGTCCAAATAAAGATGCACTCCTTGCTGTTTTGTGGATCATTCTGACCCGAATGTGCAGTGCTATGTTCTGAAAGTCAGTCACCGTTTGGACAGCATGATCCTTTAATTTTTGTAAATGATGTAGTTACATCGTGTTATAAAACAAGCGCGATATTTTAAATAAGAAATATGTTGCACATTAAATATATATTTTACATTACAGTGATGAATTGCAGAAACTAAAATGACTGCTGTTTATGCATTTGTCATCACTGTACGTCAATCATTTTAATATAAATAAGATATTTAAATATCAATGTTATGGTTTAATATAAATTTGGTGATATATATTTCTTAGAATTACTTTAAACTTGTATTTTTGCACGTAAACTGTGTGTTCCTGTTAGGTATGCCAGTTGCAAATAAGTACACATTGCAGATGGGAACTAGTTAATGACTAGGTATAACAAGCGCCGATATAGATACTGATACTAATCATATATAGGTACTACGTACACAGATAGGTACTACGTACACAGATAGGTACTACGAACACAGATAGGTACTACGTACATAGATAGGTACTACGAACACAGATAGGTACTACGTACATAGATAGGTACTACGTACGCAGATAGGTACTACGTACATAGATAGGTACTAATGAAAGGTACTAGTTTATGAAGACGCTGCTATAGGTACATGCTACTGACAGGTACAAGTTAATGACAGGTACATGCTACTGACAGGTACTAGTTAATGACAGGTGCATCGTGCATGCTACTGACAGGTACAAGTTAATGACAGATGCATGCTACTGACATGTACAAGTTAATGACAGGTGCATGCTACTGACAGGTACAAGTTAATGACAGGTGCATGCTACTGACAGGTACAAGTTAATGACAGGTACATGCTACTGACAGGTACATGCTACTGACAGGTACATGCTACTGACAGGTACAATTTAATGACAGGTGCATGCTACTGACAGGTACAAGTTAATGACAATTGCATGCTACTGACAGGTACAAGTTAATGACAGGTACATACTACTGACAGGTACATGCTACTGACAGGTACATGCTACTGACAGGTACATGTTATTGATTGGTACATGCTGACAGGTACAAGTTAATGCCAGGTGCATGCTATTGATAGGTACAAGTAAATGCCATGTATGCTTTTCCTATAGATACAGGGCATTGATTCACACATAAACAGCACTTTAGAATCAGAATTGTAAAGCAAATATATTTACCTAATATGAACCATAACTAAGATGTCGTTTTTGTATCCTACTTAGGACGCCCGGTATCGTACCTATCATGAAGCCATGCTATCATCAGTTGACTGATAGTTGGCCACCGGTACACCGGCCGTTTAATCACTTTAATGCAATGAGTAAATGTTTTGATCATGAATTTATGTTGTTCTTGACTCATGGGAAGGCAATACAAGAAGAAATCACCAAATATATTTGTATGTATGTATATTTGTATACTTAAATGCGACTTTAAGATCCACTTGGCTTCTAAATGAAAAATCTACACTTGCTTTCAAAATACACTTGGGCAAATGAATAATAATAATAATAGCGGTTTCAGCGTTTATTAGGCTGTAAGCCTGTCGCCGATTCTTAACATCGCAGAACATTCACAGCATTTTGAGGTCTCGAACTAGCAACGCACTGCTACAATTCTGCTGTGCTTAACCGCCCGGACTCCTTGCCGATTCTGACCAGAAACTGTCGCACAGAGACAAAGCTGGGATCGAACCCGCGCCTCTCTAGTGCGTCAATCTTGGTACTCTAAACTTTAACAGCTGGGCCACATTGCCCACAAAAAATAATAGCGGTTTCAGCATTTATTAGGCCGTAGGCCTGTCGCCGATTCTTAACATTACAGAACATTCAGAGCATTTTGTGGTCTCGAACTCGCAACTCACTACTAAAATTCTGCTGTGCTTAAAACCGCCCGGCCTCTTCGGCGATTCTGACCAGAAACTGGCGCACAGAGCTGGGATCGAACCCGCGTCTCTCTGCTCCAATCTTGGTACTCTGAACTTTAACCACTGGGCCACCCTGCATAGAAGCAAGTGACTAGATGAAATCAAAACTCATCTGAAACTTAAAAAAAGACATTTGTTGTGACTTGTGAATGAATTCATAATGGAGCGTGAAAGAATACTTGGTGAGGAACTAAATGGTTTCAGCCTTCAGCTTCAGGTGTGACAGAACTCACAGAAGAGCAGAACTGCGGAAGATAACATATTTGTTGTGACTTGTGAATGAATTGATTGAAAGAATGAAGAGAGATGGAAAAAGAGTGTAGGCTTGGCGTTCATAGACATAGAAAAGGCATATGATAGAGTTGACAGAAAGTTGTTGTGCACTTGATTGCACTTGCAATTTGCAAATGCCATCAATGATTGATAAATTGACAATATCCAGAATTATATTAATGACATATAAATTGACTTACTTACTAAACATGATCATCAGTTAAGCCTCAGCTAGTCAGCCATGTTTTTAGCCAGGGTGGAATTCTAGAAATGGAGGTTCACTTATAAAAAAGCTTTCCACCCAAGGTGGAATGCTTCCCTTAGTCCTTAGATACAATGCTCTGCCAGGTGACTGACTATAAATGACTAACCCATTGAGCAACATTTTCTCAGTTATGGTCTCATAACAACTCAATTTTAAAATATGTACAGTTTCGAAGTTGATATAAGTAAATAAGATTTTCTGTGCAGTTTTGAATGAGCAAATGCAAATATGTATGGAGCGTGAAAGAATACTTGGTGAGGAACTAAATGGTTTCAGCCTTCAGCTGTGACAGAAGAGCAGAACTGCAGAAGATAACATATTTGTTGTGACTTGTGAATGAATTGATTGAAAGAATGAAGAGAGATGGAAAAAGTGTGTAGGCTTGGCGTTCATAGACATAGAAAAGGCATATGATAGAGTTGACAGAAAATTGTTGTGCACTTGATTGCACTTGCAAATGCCATCAATGATTGACAAAATGACAATATCCAGAATTATATTAATGACATAAATTGACTTACTTACTAAACATGATCATCAGTTAAGCCTCAGCTAGTCAGCCATGTTTTTAGCTACATAGCTCCTCCTGACTCCTGAGGCTCCTGAGTTCCACACTCAGGATGATGTATGTTTTCGGTGAATTTTCCCGCGCATTTTCACTTTTTTTAGCTATTGCTGTGCACAGTTGGCGCAATGTAATGAAAATTGATTATCTCTGCGCAAGTGTTCGCGCAATCCCGGCCATCTTTATTTTAGAAGAAATTTTCTCCAAAGTCATATGGCAACACTGAACACCGTCTGTTTACATTTCGTATGTATAACAGCCGCAGTTTACGATTAGGTACCGTACATTCCGTATCCGACAAGGTGGACAACCAGAAAAGTCAGAAGTAACCCGGACATGTCTTACATTTTATTATTGTCAGTTCGACTCTCGTAGTCAATATACTCGCGTATATTGTCGACTAAAATAGTAGAACTATTTTAGCTTTTTGAAGTACGGCGCACGGCGCATTTTTTTACCAACGTAGTACGGCGCACCGCGCAGGTCGTTAAAATGACAAAATAAATTCCCACGCACCTGGCACATCTTCCTGACCATGGCAGGCTGAGTTCAGACCTTTCTTTCACTTTACCTCGTAACTCATGTCTCATGATGTTAGAACTTCAATGTTTAAATGTTGACAATATTGTCAATATCACAATCAAAACTGTTCACAATCAAAAATGTTATAATATCACATTCAAAAATGTTATTCACAAATAAACATCAATCACAATGCAAAACTATTTCCATGCTGTGCAGAAGGCTTTGTTTACATATGGCTGGCTGACCGGAGCCTGTAACCAATCACAGCTAGAAAGCAGATAAAATTAAAATTCCATTAACAAATCACAGCTGGAAAGCTGAAAGGAGCTAAAATCACAATCCATCAACCAATCACAGCTGAAATTCTGGAAAGGGATAGTATATGTAAATAATGGACTGAAAGTGTAAAGTTCCTGGCCTTTCCAAGCTTTCAAGTCCTGCTGTCCAATATGCTATGTGTACTGGTTAACTTAATATCCCTCTAGAATTCCACACTGTTTTTAGCTACATAGTCGTAGCTCCTCCTGAGGCTCCTGAGTTCAGACCTTTCTTTCACTTTACCTCGTAACTCATGTCTCATGTCTCATGATGTTAGAACTTCAATGTTTTAAATGTTGACAATATTGTCAATATCACAATCAAAACTGTTCACAGTAATAAATGTTACAATATCACAATCAAAACTGTTCACAATAAAAAATGTTACAATATCACATTCAAAAATGTTATTCACAAATAAACATCGATCACAATGCAAAACTATTTCCATGCTGTGCAGAAGGCTTTGTTTACATATGGCTGGCTGACCGGAGCCTGTGGTCACGTCACATAACAAATATGTCCGAATATTGCCACACACAGTGTCGGAATATAGGGATTTGGTAGGTTTGCATTCTAAAGGCTTTTAAATAAATATGGCAACATTTTGTGACGTTTCATTGTTGCTGGCGCGTAGTACGGTGTTTTGCGAGTCACATAAAGCAAACAGAACTTGAGTAACGCATACGGTTATTTTTATATTGTTTTTCATTTCTTGATGCGTCCTTAATGTGTTGGAATATACCGCATTTACCCTAGTTTCAAATTAAATATAAAAAACCATTTATGGCACCTATTCGTTACCTCAGCTTTCAAATTGAGGAGAAACTCATCCGCAGTTGGAGAAACTTCTTGAAGAAAAGGCAATGCACAACAAACAACATCACACTTCACAGTTGACTGACTAGAATAGACTCAATAGTCAATAAAGTGCTCGAAAGTCAAAAATTTAGCATGAAAATTGATGAATCGAAGATGTGTATAGTATAGTATTGTATAGTAAATGGTAAAAGGAAAAGGCTGAATATTGGAACATTACATTAAAAAGCTAATTCTTTCAATTCAGCAAATTTCAATTAAGCCATGGCAATCCAAATATAGTATGCAAAAACATAAAAAGGTGCAAAGGACAAGCATGGAGCGTTGAGACTAATTACAACCGATTACAAAATAAAAAAATTAAATTGTAATACATTGTATTGTAAATTACAATAACAACTGATTAGTACAGTGAACTTGTTAGTACATTCAACTCATTAGTACAGTCAACTCTTTTCACTCACTTTAAATGGTTTCAAATTTCAAATGGTACTCATAATGGTTTCAAATTAAATATAAAAAATCAGCATTGCACCTATTCATTACGTCAGCTTTCAAATTGAGGAGAAACTTATTGGCAATTCATGTGAAATTGTCAATGGCAGTATTTAAGAAATGAAATGCCTCTAGGCAGTATTCATGTGAAATGCCTTTAGGCGGTATTGCAGAAAAGACACTGCACAATATGACACTCATCTGACTAAAGTAATGAAAAATTTAGCATTCAAACCTTTAGATTCTATGAACCTTGTGATTTCTATATTATTTGAACTTAAAAAGGCTCATGCACGGTTTGTACTAGTCATGAAAAACCTGGAAAGTTGGAATTTGATTTTTCATTCTCCAGGCCTGAAAAGTCATTGGATTTCATTTCAGGTTATGGAAAGTTGTGGAATTTGCAAATAAAAGAATAAAAAACGAAGTGTTATTCTGTATTATACTGTTTGTGCAGTCTCTTGTTTCCTGCATTCTGATTTGCATGCATGAAACCGGAGACTGAGCCACAGTCTTTTGTTTCACGTGTTCTGATTGGTTCTCGAATCATGCGATTGGAGAACCAATCAACCAATCACGTGATCTCGGTCACCAAGCTCAGTTGCATTGGACAACTTTTTGATATGCAGTGGGCCAGTGGCAGCATTCCATCTTCAGCATACAATTTCTACATCACCATGCCTGGGAAGTTTAAATTTCATGACTTGTGGTTAAGAATGAAGCTTATTGTGACTGGCTTGCTTGCAATCTAGAGCAGAAGGTATGGCAATATCATTTACATTGTGCTCGAAAGTCTTTGATGTGTCAGATATGGGGGAAGCAGCTCTGAAGAGACATGCCACCTTTGAAGAGCCATGAAGAGCTATGCATTTACACATTTGCTATTTATCAACTGTAAAAGATGATAGAACATGCATGGTTAGTCTTTCAGTCATGCTAAACCTGTCATATACGAGTCTTGGAAAATTATATTGATGGTCATGGAGAATCATGGAAAAGTCATGTAATTTTTTTCTAGATACCGGTACAAACCCTGCTCACTATATATTGAGTAAATTTTTACTTAACTATTGTCATGAAGCTGATGAATAAAACCTATGGAGTATAGAACTGAAGTGTCCACTGATCATTATGGGCAGGAGCTTCATCTGTAGTGGATGCACTGCAATTACCATGCCCACCGGTCATGTAATGAGGACTAACCAATAACCATCATTAGATTTGAGGCTGAGCCAAAAGTCTTCCAGCCACCTTGTTTGTTGCACACAACTGATTCTGCATGCATGTATAACATTTATTAAGGTTATTAAACCATTTCGTTGAATTTTAGTTACTGAAAAATTTGTAAGATAAAAGTTTGTATATTTTATTTCTTCATATGAGTACTATGTTAATGTACCATTTTTTGGTATCTCTGCTACTGTCTTTGCCATTGTTTTCATTTGGATTGTATTCCTGATTGCAAACGGAAAGAGTTTGCATGTATTAGGCTCTTAGCTGAGTGTGGCAGTGATAAGTTTTGTATATGTGGATTGAATTATAGGCAGTTTTTCATGGATTTGTGTGTGAAAGAGTAATGTTAATAATTGATGAATACACTTTGCATGCTTCAAAAAGTTTTAAACATGATTTTTATTTAAAGTGTCCGGATTACCCCATTTCCATGGGTAATTCGAGATGCTTTTATTTTGCGTGTGGCACCTTATGAATAGCTTATGGAATTTTTTTGGAGATGCCATTTGATATCCCACGCAAAGAGCTTTAAAATGAGCCTAAACTTGTTTATGAAATGTTTCATAGTAAGAAGTTATTAATGGAAATTTCTCAAAACCATCCCTTATTACCCCGTTTGATGGTATACATCCGAGGTATTTGCTTTCCTGAACACGCATTGTTTGTAGCTTTCAAACAAGTGCAAACACTTTGCAATTAATGTGAATAATGATCAATAAATATGATTTTTTAAATGAAAATTTGTAAATATTTTTATAAAATAGTCATTTATTAAAGTTCAAAACAGCCTTGTGCAAAAATTATTGCATGTACATCCATGGTAGTAGCTTTGTTAAACATGTCTTGTTTGTAGCTTTCAAACAAGTGAAAACACTTTGCAATTGATGAAACTAATGATCTATAAATACAGAGTTATTCAAAAGAAATCTAAGTATATTTTGTTAAAAAATGTTCATCCTTTTTTTTCTGAATTGCTTTACGCATAAACTAGAGCATGTACATACATGCAATTTGCTGTGTTAGATGCACTTTTTCAGCTGCCATAAAATGAGCCAGGAAGGCAGAAATGCCAAATTTTTTTTACTGACATGCCAAGGGAGTGGAAAATAAGAGGAGAGGTCATACAATGAACAAAGCAAGACAGGTAGTTGCAGAATAATAAATCATTATCCATGCATCAACAATGACAGTTCTGTTTTATCTTGTAACCAACCCTAACATGATTTTAACGCAAAAAAATTATTCCTGCTTTTGTTTATGAGGTAGAGGAGCGAGGAAAAAAGGGAGACTGAGGAGCATGCAAAAGAGGAGGTGGCTAGAGAGTAGTGAGCAAGAGAGGAGCAAGCTAGAGCATCAGCAATGACCCAAGATTTCAGCAGTTTTCCATTCAGCCGCATTGAGTGCATCAGCTGAAAGCAGAAAGTTATGCCTGTTGCTGTAATATTTATGATAGATGTTGATATATATTTTCTAGGGGCAAAATCTGTTACTTGCCACTAGATAAGCTACATTAGTAGGAATAAAAAGTAATAATATTTACAGATCAGATTGCATTGTCAAGATCCATTATCCTTACCTTGGCAGCAATGACGTCTTTTTGAAGTTGGCTGGTTTGTGGGTGTATACCTCCTGCAGACATCCATCTACAAATTGCTTGAAAGCTTCAAGTGTCTTGTATGCCTTGAATTCCTGCAAGGTGTATTGGCTGACAACAAACATCAAATACCTAGTTCAGTAAATCACTGTGTGAAATGGGAAGCAAGCTTACAAAATCTGCTCACCACTGCTTTACTGACACTTTGTAGGGATCAACATCATTAATATCAAACAATTTTCTTGAATACTGGTCTCTTACTGAAGGATGAAGATTTTGTCAATAGCTTAATCCTTTCTCCTTTGCTCCTTTTTTCTCCATTGCCACCTAAACATCAAATGTGTAGGTTCAAAATCTTGAGTAAGCTAAGGTGCAAGTGTGCAACAAACATGGCGGCGTAGCAATGTGGCTTACATGGAAACACAGGAGCTTGGTGAGCCCAATAAGACTAACACACCCATCAGAGGAGAGGGTTTCACTCAGAATTAGATGATCATTCACTTTCTTGTAATCTTGTATCAGCTCTTGCTAGGGAAGATATTCCTCAGAGAAGACCTACAGCAGTAATTCGTTGGTTGGAAGAAATGCCTGCTGAGCTACAGCATGGCAAACACCCGATGAAGATGTAGAGTAGCATTCTTTTATCCCTACTTTCACAATAATGTTTTTTTTGACAGTAATAAAAGAACAATTTTATTCATGTCACTATCTACTTACCATTTAGGTTGTTGCCAATCCGCCAACTAAAAGTACGCAATGTGTTTGGATGACCATGTGGTTTTCAGGTGTTAGGTGAACTGCAGTAGCCACATCCAGTTCACTTTCAAAATAACTTTCAACCAAAAACTAACCTGATGAATAATGGCTTATAATGTGAAAGAGTGCAGTGTGGTGCTGCACTAACTCTGATCCTGCAGTCAGGAGGTTTGCTCTGCTCAGCTGGTGTGCTGAGCAGAGCATCACTCAAGCAACTGCTGGTGCTTGCCAATTCAAATCTGAATGTTAGCTGCATGTTTGATGCTGCACTAATTTCCTTGATAATGAGTGTGATGATTTGTAAAATGCATTTTGATGCATATGCCTGCATACCCATGTAATCTTATGGAATTTGTTATATTAACCAAGTCAAATCTACTGATAGTAGATCTTAAAGAATGCTTCCATGATTATTAATCACAAGATTTCAATTTTCATTATTAGCAGTTATTTTTAATTGTTGAAATTGTTCATCTATACTGTTGTTGATTGTGATATAAAAATTTTTTCTGTGCAGCTGTAGAGTCCAACAACTTGAGTGCACAACAGAAAATGACCTCCTTTTACATCAAAGAAGAACCTAAACATGAAGGGAAGGGCATGGCTGTGAAGGAGGAGCTAATTTGCATTGATGGAATTGAGGTGAAATTGCCAACCTGTCAACTCAAAACTTTGGTCATGAAATTTCATCCATGCACAAAAAAATTGTAAATAAAAAATTATTCTTATTTCCATTTCAGCCAGAACTATTTCTGGCAGATTATATGTAAATGGGAAATTTTTCATGGAAATATGCACTGAAAAATTTAAGGATAAGAATTTGTTCATTGAATTGCTAATAAATGTAATCCATTTAATGTGCATTTTCATGAAGAAACTTGTCATGGTAATCTCCTATCACAATTTTTTTCACTCTAATAGGTACTGTTTGTACGAGTGAATTAGGTTTAATTTTATTTTGTCCAAATCAATTACGAGGTAACCAGGGAGCAATCGAGTTAAATTTCAGTTTGTGACTGTCATGTTCTTATCCTAGACTGGTTGTTGTGACCTGCCGACTCCACCTCCTCCACCTTGTGTGTCGTGCAAGGAGGAAAGCCACACTCATGAGGCTCACCAAGGCAGCACACAGGACATTGATGTTCAGCTGGAGAAACAGGTTAATGTTACATATTTTTGTTTAGAAATATTTTAGTTTATATTCATTTTGTTCAACATTTTCCACTTGAATTCCTCACTTAAGTGCAAGCCATGCTTGTGGGCCAAACAGCAATTCAACTGCCATACAAAAACATGCAAAATTAATGCACGTGTCTTTTTCTTGTCAACATATGGGAAAAAATATTGAAACAATTTGTTGGATAGAAGTATGGTATTAAGATAATTTTGATACATTTTTCATTCAGTTTTTTGAGAGAGTTAGAAGATCTTAATTTAATTTCTAAAAATATACATTGTTATTTCTAAAAATATACATTTCACACATTTTGTGTCTTTGACTGTAATTTATGTAAACCTTGCATTCAAGTGCACCTACTTCTAATTTCCAGGTTGGGGTGCCGTGCAAGGGTGAGGACAGCTCTGGCCAGGGAGCACAGATGGCTGCTCCTCAAAGGAACATGGATGAAGGAATGACAGGTATTCAAGGCAAAAATTGTTCAGACTCCACAAACGCACAAAGTCATTAAGAAGGATGCAGACTTTTGAGCAAGGTTTGGGAAGTGGCTGTACTGTGAATTGTGTGGCCACAGCCCTACTCATAGATATCATCTCATGATGCATATGTTTTCTATACATTGTTTGGGGGAGGGATTTCAGTGCAAGATGTGTGATTATGGATTATGTCGCTGCTCAGAAACGATTCCCCAAAACCAATAAATTATCAAAACATGGTAAAGGAATTTGAGTTATGTCACTACTGAGAGACAGTGCCTCAAAGCCCTCATGATTTCAAAACATTGTATAGGAGCTGGCTTCTAACGCCTCGTTCTCACATTGCCGGTTAAAGGGCTGGAAGACATCCGGAATCGATTCCTGGGGTACTGGTTATCAAACTGGAGATCTGGGAAATGAGATCCGGGAGTTCCTAGAGTTCCTGTAAGGCGTTGTAGAGTTCCTGGAAGGCAGAAAAAGTATTCAACATGTTGAATAATATTGCCGGGACGCCAGGAACCATAAAAATCTGGGAGTCAATCTGCTCTTCCGTTGCTATGTGAGAACTCAATGGTACGGCCAGGGGACCAGCCTGGGGTACCGGGAGTGGTGAAATCATCCCAAAAAAGCCGGAAATTCCGGAAGAGGCCTGGGTGTGTCGGATTTTCCGGCCAAAAACGGCGAATCCGGCCCTAAAACCGACAATTCCAGCAGTGAAAACGGGAGTTCCGGGCTGGTTGAGCAGGATTTTAGGGAAACAACCTGGAAATCCGGCTGTACAAGTGCCGGGCGAACAGTATGAAGTGCCGGGAATGCCGGTTGGCGGGGCGGACAAGCGGGAATAGCCTGCAAGCCTGCTTTTCCCGCTCTTCTTCCCGCGCTTCCGGCGCTAGGGGGCATTCTCTATATAAACGAGAGTTAGGGAGAGACGCTTCCATTTTCCTGCTGACTTTTAACTGATACACATGCCACATCTATTCACCACATCTACACACTGGGTCCTAGACAAAAGAAGCGTAGGGCGACATTGACCACAGAAAAAAGGACTACTACACCAGAGCCTGAGCCAAGTTCTCCTGCTAAGTCTATAAATTCTGTTGCTGCAGATTCTGGTGATGAATCTGATTACTCTATTGAGTCTGAAGTGGCAGTGCCTTCACCCCCACCTGCAGTCCAACGTCCAGATGAAGATATTTCCGTAATAGAAGAACCCCACGCTTCCAGTAGGCGTCGTCGCAAGGACAAGCTTGTTTTGCTTCATGAAGACGAAGAGGAACTGGCTCGGTGGTTCGAGGAGCACCCCATATTTTATGATAAGTTCCATAAGGGCTACAAAGATAAGAAAACAAAAGATCGCCTTCTTGCAGAGAAAGCCACTACACTGAAAACGCCATGCACAGGGGAACAGATTCGCACGTGGTTGGAATCCATGCGAACGGCCTATGGAAAGCTCGTCCGAGCCGGACCCTCTGGCAGTGCAAAGCCGAACCCCACAGAAAAGGAGATATGGATCATGCAGGCCTTCTCTTGTGTTGCCCCTCACATCAGCCGCATGCAGGGACGTGCTGGTGCTAAGGTAAGGTGACTTCTAAATTTTTCTATGTTGTGTTTTTGCAGCATCCTTCCATGTTACTAATATTCACATATTGTGTCAATATGTAAATCTAAGCCCTGCATCCTTCCTATACCTACTGTAAGTTTAATAAAATTAACATGAAATATCATTATATGAAACCTTGTACTTAAACTCCTCTGTTGAATATTTCTCCTACATCTAGTCTGTTACCTTACAGATCCGCAAACGCAAGGACTCGGGAGAAAGCTGCTACAGTGTGGAGTCTGGGGAAGAGTCCGGCACCTCGAGGTCCAGTGTGTCGATGGGAGGACCCTTCAAATCTTATGCTCGACGTGCCCTGTCTGACCTGGCTCCCCGCCCGGGGTCACAGGAAGCCACTGTAAGTCCCAAAAACATTTTAGCAGAATTTATAATTTTGTAAAATTGCTTCTCGTTGTGTATATATCATGTGCTTTGACAGTTGTTGTACTCCTCTTATGTATTGTTTCAGGTACTTGAAGGGCTCCAGTCAGGCATGCTGCAGTTACAGCAGAGGGTGGACAGCCTGTGTCAGTTGGAGCAAGACGATCTTCGGAACAACCAGCACCAGTGGGCTGACTATCTATATTCCAGGGCTCGCAATCTAGACGAGGAGGGTTGGATCGACCTCCAGGAGCAGTCCATGGAGCTAGTGGCAAAAATTGAAAGGCAGTATCGAGAACGTAAGTCGAAGGCTCGTTTGCAGATGCAGCTTCAACAACATCAACAACAGCAGCCTGCTGCTCCTATTCAGCAGCCATATTATTTCATGCCACCACCACCCTCTGCACCGTCTCAGCAACAGCCAACCCCGCAGCAACCAGCACCTTTTTCTATTGCTGCCCCTCCCCCGCCATCATACTACATGAACAGTCCAGCAAAAGTATGGCCTACGTTTGCTCCATCCCATGTAGCCCCTTCACAGCCACAGCCTGTCCCTGCACCTTCCTGTATTGGGCCTGGCAGGAACTCTCCTTCGGCACAAAGTAGCATTGCCGACATATCTTTTAGCTCCTTGTTCAGCACTGCATCGCCTGCCTCGCCATACCAGAACCTGCCAACTCAATCACCACTCACCTCGACGCCAGGAGCCAGACCTTCTGGTAGCGGCAGCGAAAATGTCTAATATGGACTGTAAAATATTAATGAAATTTAACTGCAATTTCTTTCAATAGCGGATTTGAAACTATGTAATTTTTATTTTCTTTTGTGCGAAAGCATTGTCACTTATTCACATTTTCAGCCTATGTGCTGTTTCAACTTTGTACTTTTTTATTTTTTTGCAAATGCATTGTCAATTGTTCATATTTAATACTATCTGCTGTTAAAATGATGTACTTTTTCACATTTTTGTGCAAGTTTTGTTAATTATTAACATTTCTTTCATGTCTGCTGATTAAACTTTGCAAATTTGCATTATATATACTGGTATGCATGTTTATATATTGTAAACACAATGTAACAATAAATGGGGTGTGATTAATTAAATGAAACATTATCACCATTTTCTTTTTTGTAAACACTTTCTGAAATAATTGTCTGGAATAATTTTGTAAACACTTTCTGAAATAATTTTGTGTTAAAGATGAATACAATTTTTTAACTGAAGCTGATACACATTTTTGCTTTTACTTTCCAAAAAGTTGTCCTTATTCAATAAAGTTCCTTAAACATTTTAATACGCTTTTTAACTTATAATACCTGTCCCCATTTACTTTAGATCTGAATATTGTGGAAAAGGTATCAAATTAAATAGGGGAACTTTTCAATAAACATTGAAAGCTTTGATTCACAACTAGCAGTGATTGTTACAGAATTTTTATTTAACTTGGTAAAACATTATCACAGCCATAGTTACAGTATGAAAATAAATGAGATTAAATTTATCTATATTTATATCTAACATTTTGTAAAAATCTTTTCAATATGAAACACAATTTAATATTGTACATATACAAATTGGTACAGAGTTGGAATGTGAAAGTCAAGTGAAATAGAAATTGCATATGGAAATGTTAGTATTACGGTATGTCAAAATAAATTATATCATAGCATGTTGCCAGTCAACCTGTCCCTCATTGTTCACCCATCTACACAAGCATTCTTGCACTTGTTTGGCATCAGTAAGCAGTCTTGGTCCCTCCAGAGGTGGTAACATCCCTCAGTGTCACTTCTTCCTGTCTCCAAGCACCTGGTTGCATGTGATGTGTCACTGGGTCCTCTCTGTCCAGACCTTCAGCAATCAGCATAGGATATCTTGTTCTCATGAGATTGTGTAGGAGACAACAGGCCAGCACCAATGCCTCGACTTTCTTGGGCGATTGTTGAAGGGTGGTGAGCAGACATCGAAACCTGTAACATAATAAGGACCAACAATTATTAACATATAAGTTTTGATGCAGAAAAACCACTACTATGAGGATGCTTTTTTTTCCTTGAACACATACCTGTGTGCAAGGATGCCAAAGGCGTTTTCCACCACTCGACGAGCCCGGGACAGCCTGTAGTTGTAGATTCTTTGCTCCACAGTAAGATTCCTGCTGGGTAGAGGTTTCATCAACCATGTCTTGAGAGGAAAGGCCTCATCACCGACCAAGAAGTAGCCTACATCTGTATCACCGCCTGGTAGAGGAGAAGGAAGAGGAAGTCCAAGGGAACCTTCCTTGAAGCACTGCCTAATCTCTGTATTCATGAAGACACCCCCATCAGATCCTGCTCCATTGGCTCCAACATACACATTCATGAACTTGTAATCTGAGTCTACAACAGCCATCAGCACAATAGAGTGAAAATGCTTGTAATTGCAGTATGCAGATCCAAAATCTCCTGTTGTTGTAGGAATGGAGGTGACCAAGTTGCAAATTGACAGCAACTTGTCATTTCTATACCTGGTTATGCACTACCGTACATATTATTTGCTAAGTGATAAAGTTTAGTTCCACAGACTCAATTTGTTCTCACAAGATGTGTTTAATTTTTGAGTTGTCTTGAGTATTTTTTAACTTATGAAATAGCTCAGAGTCTAACCCACAGACGGCAAATCTCGGAGAATGCATCCATGATAATTACTCAAATATTTAAATTTTGTAATTGGAATTAGTCATTTTCAATTGTGAACATTGTTCATATGTACTGATGATCATGATATTAATAATTTTGATTCCTGTGCAGCCATAGAAACCAATGACTCACCTGTAGCAGACAAAATGATCTCCATTTTCATCAAGGAAGAACCTGAAGATGGAGGAGAGGGCGTAACTGTCAAGAAAGAATCAACTTGCATTGATGGAATTGAGGTGAAGTTGTCAAACTTTGGTCATCAAATTTCATCCAAGGAAATTCAGTAGCTTTCCATGAAACTTCGTTTTGAGCTCCATTATAGTCAAACCAATTTTTGGTAAATTAGACATGTGAGATTTTTGCCAGGATTACCATTCATTTAAAGGTTTAATGATGAGAATTCATGCCTTGAATTGCTAACAAATGTTATCTATTTTGTGTGCTTTTGCATGAAACTCATCAACGTGATTCACCATAACAATTTTTTTTTACCATAATGCTGTTTGTTTGAGTGAATTAAATTTCATTTTGATTGATTTTATCCTAATCAATTTCAAGCTAACCAATGAGCATCTGAGTTTAATTGCTGGTAGTGACTTTAGTGTTGTTATGCAGACTGGCTGTGGTGTGCCGTGCAAGCAAGAAGCTCACCATACAGCACATGAAGCTCAGCAAGGTGGCTCCCAGGACATAGCTGCTCAGCTTGAGAAACAGGTTAATGCTATTTGGTGTTTTTCACTAATATTTGAGCCCATTGTCATTTATTTCAATATTTAAAACCTGATTGCTTCACTCAGTTGCTTGACAAACTGTTGGCCAAAAGGCACTTCATCCTCGAACAGACCACACAAGACTTCATAAAAGATCATCTAATTGATGAAGGGCTCTTTTCCCATGTAATATTTTGACACGCAGTGCGTTGCTTTTTTGAATAAATCGATGTAGAAAAAATTTGGTAAAAGAATTTGCTTGACGGAAGTACAAGATCATGAAGATTTTTATTCCATTTCCATTCCGCATCTTTCAGGAGTTTATGGGTATTAAATATTTTTTAAATTGTTACTTCTTTCAATATACAATGCATACATTTCATTTACTGAACCTGTATTTAAGAAAACTCTGTTGAAGTGCATCTTCTTCCAATTTTCAGGATGGAGTGCAACGCAAGGTTCAGCACAGATCTGCCCAGGAAGCTCAGACGGCTGTTCTTAATTTGAATTTGGATGAAGGAAAGACTGATATTAAAGGTAGTATTTCTTCAGGCTCTACAAATTCATCGAAAACGAATCAAATTTCTGAAGGCGGTTCAAGTAATAAGCTACAATGTGAACTGTGTGGCCATTGCTCTACACGTAAACTTCTTCTCAAGCATCATATGTTTTCTAAGCATGGTTTGGGGCAAGGATTTACATGCAAGATGTGTGATTTTGTCACTGCTGTGCAACGGCACCTTAAAAACCATATGATTTCAAAACATGGTGTAGGAACTGGGTTACACTGCAAGATGTGTGATTTTGCCACTGCTGAGAAACACTATCTCAAAGCACACTTGCTTTCAAAGCACGGTATTGGAGCAAGTTTCCAATGCGAGATGTGTGATTATGCCACCGCTGAGAAACGTAAACTCAAAACCCATATGGTTTCAAAACATGGTCCAGAATCTGGGCTGCAATGCAAGATTTGTGATTATGTTGCTGCTGAGAAACGATGCTTCAACGGCCACATGCTTTCAAAACATGGCATAGGTGCTGGGTTCCAGTGCAAGATGTGTGATTATGTCGCGACCAGGAAACAGAATCTCAAAGCTCACTTTCTGTCAAAACACAAAATAGGTTCTGGATTTCAATGCAAGATGTGTGATTATGTCGCTGGTCGGCAAGGAACCCTCAAAACGCACATGATTTCAAAACATGGTGTAGGAAGTGGATTCCAATGCGAGATGTGTGATTATACCACTGCAAAGAAACTTCTCCTCAAAACCCACATGATATCAAAACACGGTATAGGAACGAGCTTACAATGTCAGATGTGTGATTATGTTACTGCTAAGGGAATTCTCCTTAAAACACACTTGCTTTCAAAACATGGTATAGGAACTGGGTTCCAATGTAAGATGTGCGATTATGTTGCTCCTCGACGACAAAACTTGAAAATTCATATGATTGCAAAGCATGGCATATGAACTGGCTTGCAATGCCAGAAGTGCGATTATGTCACTGCTGAGAAATGTCTCCTCAACGCGCACTTGATTTCAAAACACGGTATAGGAGCTGGGTTCCAATGCCAGATGTGTGATTACGTTACTACTCGCAAACAACACCTCAAAACTCACATGAAATCCCAACATCCCATGCCAACCACGAACAGGGAAGATTAACTTGTAACTTACTTCAACCTTGCACTGGAAGCTGAAGTTGTCAATTTTCTGTAGAAGTAAATGTAATACAATATTATTATTATTAATGTATTTTGTGCAAAATTAAAGTTCATTGTGATTAAGAGAGTATTGACAAAGCCCGTATTATAAATAGATTATATTCTGTTGTCAACTTTCAATCTAGAAAGTTCTTTCTAGATTGAAGATTCTACTAGAAAGAATCTTCTTTCTTCTTGAATATTCTTCGTTTTAGATTCTTTCTTTCTTCGTGCAATAGAATAGAACTGATAGAGGGAATATTAATTTGGAATTTTGGAAGCAGTAGTTAAGGTTTTGGGAGCTGATTATGAGTTTAAGAGCGATGAGAGGTGACGTAGACAAGTTTTATAAAACAAGTAACATGAGAAGACATCGGGGTAAGGCCAGGATTATTCCTTTACCGCCAAATCGGACTTTCAAGTCGCCTTTCAAAAAAACACCTGTATATAGGGAATATTTCTCACTCGTATGGCTCAGTAGCCCAACTGGCCTCCGGCCCTTCAGATTACACTGCTATGCAAAGCTCAACAAGTGAATGAGCGGTTTGTTTACATTCGTTCGTCAGTTGCCCGCCAACTTCCGTGGCATTATGATATGCACTATCGCTCTAAGTTCGAACCTAAATCTGTCCAAAGTGCTTAGTCCCGCGTTTTGAACATCAATTTTGATTATTGATCAACTCCTGTGACTAGTTTATAGTAAAACTCAGTGTTTCCAAGTGCTAAGAAGACAGACATGTCTGCCTCTTCATCCGGCCACACAACAAGCTTAGAAGACCACAGCTCAACAATGGCGGACCTCTCGAGAACCGACGACTTTCCTTCGCCCTCCCCTGTCCTTGGCCGTACTGTGATAACAAAGAAACCTCGACTACATGCTAACCCCACCCTTTCAGCTGAATCTAGTTCTATGACATCTAGCA